TGGACTCACATTATTTAATTATACGCTTTATAGATTCACATCAATAAGTGATTCCTGACAATAATCCAGTAAAACCTTTCATCCATATCATTGATCCCACACGTAGTTTCGATAGTGAACTCGTGATTATCGATGAAACGCGATGTGTCAACGTCCACTGAAATTCTCTTCCTCGTCGTGCTTTGGTCTCCGGCGACATTTTTGTAAAGTTTCACTGCCGACGAAGAAGCATCATCCGCTGTCTCCGGCTCGTCTTTAGGCGTAAGACGGCAACTCATCAATGCTCTAAGGAGCATCACTATCGACGCCATGTGTCTCCGACGTCGTAGGATATGCTTTGCTAAAGCAGCTTTAGTTAGCTCTAATTGCGTGTCTAGTCACTTGTATTTAAGTGCAAAGACACATAAAACATATGTATATATGATGTGTGCGTTTGTGTGTGTGTTTGTGTCAGTGTGTGTATATTCTCAACAACCATTGTTGAATGCTGAAACAAGACATCACTAGGATAAAGAAACAATCGAGAGAAAATCTTCTATACTAAAAATAGGCAAGTGTTAATTGCTAATATACTAAAATGCCATTGAGCGATGCCAATATAGCCCGGCAGCAGCAGATAATCAAGGGTATCACGGTCTTTTAAGACTCATGATTTTGAATATTTGATTGAAGAGAAAGAAAAGAGTTTAGCTTCAGCAAGAAACAATGAGAGGAGAAGAGAGGAGTTTCAAAAGGAGCTTCAAGAAAATATTCTCATCTAATCCTTTTTCGGTCAACGATTTGTTAGACAACCTTCTAGATTTTTCCTTTTTGGGTAACTAACTATTGTTGGGCAACCATTTTAGATTCATCATATTCAAACCAGTTTTTATTCGGAATTTCTGAAAATTAAAACTAAAATTTTGGTGCTTTTTATTTCTCTCCATCATTTCTTTTTTGGTGTTTGTCATATTTAGTCAGTGTAGCAAAGAAATCGAAGCAAGAATATGACAGATTTTTTTATTCAGTTTTACTTTATGCTCTTCTCATTTTAATATTTTATAATTATTCAACATATTCATGCCATGGAATATTTGCTAAATTTGTTTGATTTCACTGAGCATTTTTTCCCCGATTCAAAGTATAATCTCTCAATTTTCAAATTTTATCTATATGCTATGTTTTTCTATTATAGTTTGCTATGACATTTGGTCTCTAGAATTATTCTAAACATTTTTAGTCTCTAAGCTATTAATAAACCATGAAAATTCTTTTAAATATTTTATTTGTTATGTCTAAGTTACAAACTCAAAAACAAATGAAAAAGATCAAACCCTCCAAAGGAAGAAGATCTCTGAAGATCAAATGCACCTAGTACGTTGTATATAAGTTATCATTCATTACAAATTTTCATGAACAAAAGTTGTACCAAATCGCTTTCATCTTCTCATGAAAAAGGGATAATGAGAGTAGTTTTGGTTCATCGCGTAATGCCTCGCTTCTTTTGGTTCATCCGCTCTCACGTAGTAAAACAAATTAGCATACAAATTTTATTTTTACTCATATATATAATAAAATATTTTATTGTATTACTTTTTCTTGTACTTTGCTTTACACAATAATAAATCGATCTTATTTGATTACAAATATCTTCTAAATAATTTAAAAGGATGAAATTGGCTAAAACCAAGAAAAAAGGTTGAAATTGGCATACATTACTTTTTTTCTGTTTAGTTGCTTGATTAAAAGTTTAAAACTAATAATTGTAGAACTAGAAAAGAAAAGAAAATAGACAAAAATAAAAAAAACGACTTACTCACGTGACAAATGTCCAGTTCTAATTGGCAATCATTTATTTGTTACCAAACGAGTATCTCCATATCATGATTTTTTTTTTTTTTTTTAATGTTCAATTATCATAATTTGTCTTGAACCGTATAATTTTTAATTAGCATGCAAACAATCATTATATTTTTTTTTCACACATGATCATCAATATAAAAGCTAAGAACTAAGAGTATAGTCATCTCAGTCTCATTTCTGTAAGATCTAAATAAATCACAATTAATTATTGTTTAAGAAAAATAAGAAACGTACAAGTATCTTATATTCAAAAAGATGAAATGTCGAAATTGATAAACCATGTTTAATTAAAACAAAAAGAAACAAATAATTATCGATCTCCCTATGAAAATGGTTGTCCATATACGAGTCTAGCAAGGTGACAAAGGGTACGAAAGACTCATTACAAGCGCATATCTTTGCGAATTTACTGCAGGCGTTGGAATTAGATAATCCTCCAAATTGGCTAATGACAACTACATCCTCTCTGACGACAAAATTTAATTGCATAAAATTGTATTCAATCTTGTTTTCCACCTCAAGACTTGCGTGATCGGTATCAGGTTCTCCCAGAATGCGTATCGCAAATATTTGTGAAAGGTAATTTTTTCCAGTTAAGCCTTATACTTGTCTTCTGGTTTACAAAATCACAGAATTAGAATTGCAGTATTTAACTCGGATGTTTTCTCATTAATTAGTAAACCACAAAAGCTTTTACGATTGTCTTTTTTACTAGCTAAACAAAGGCTGCTAGAAGTTGTAGACGGTTATGAAAGAAGTATTCCTCATTCATACGGTCAAGAATATGAGCCAACGGCAAGAAGGAGAGATGTATACATCGTCATGTGCCGTACGTCCAAAGTAACAGAGGATTTAGTGAGACAAACGTTGTTTAATGTTTATTCCTTAGATATTTAAGTAGACAATATTCTTTTTAAAATTGATTTTAATAATTTACCTTGTCTTCGAAATGGTCCATGTAGAGAGATCCATGCCAACAACGTAAGTCGTGAGTCAAAACCACACCATTACGGTCACCGCTCGTATAGGTACATATATACGTTAAACGGCTTAGCTGAGTTCGGGTTTCTCACGTTCCTGGTCAAACAGTCAACGGACAAATTGTAAACAACATAATCAATTTATTTAGTTATATGAGAATGTGAAAACCATAGTCCCTTAATTAATACTTGCAAACAATAGTTAATTAATACATGTTCATATGGTTTTCACATGTTCATATAATTAAGAAATACACGTGGTTTTTTCACTTATTTATCAGAAAAATGGGAGTATGACTATGATATGGGGAGCAGACAAGTGGACGTAGAAAAGGCTCTGATCATCATTGATACAAGTGATGATATATGCGATGATGATGGTTATGATCAGCCTCCCTCTCTCTCTCTGCTGTGATCCTTAGAGAAATTGAGTAAGACATAACTGATTAAGATATGAAGACTGAATAGTATTTTGGTAACTTGATCGGGGGGTAACGTAACACTTAAGTTTTATTGATGTGCTGTAGAAATGAATATTTTGGATTCGCTACGAAATGAATTTTTGAAAGGAAATGGTAAACCTTCAGACATGGTCACTTGAAACAAAACAAAAAAAAATTGAAATCCAAAGTGCAAAATATTTATCGAAAGAATGTTGGCTAATTCAGTTTTGTACTCGTTTTGCTGTCGATGTTTATTCATTACAAAAACAACAATCTTATAGTAGAAGCGATCACATAGCCAAATAATACACTGTTGGCCCGTACAGGCGAAGCGATTCAATGACCACTATGTTCATCTGCAATTGTGAATAGTGAGAAGCACAATCGGTGCAAGACATAAAAGAGAGTTTCTCCAGTCACAAGAAACCCTTTCTTTATTCACTTCAGCCACTAAGTTTACCAGCTTGAGTTTAGAGAAAGTGTCTGAATCTGGGGTTCTGTCTTTACCGCATTCATTGAAAATCTCTTCTCTGCGTTTCTCTTGCCACCCTTGGTGCAAGCTAAGCAACAGGGTTGTCCATGTCAATAGATTCGTGCGCACCGAAGAAGAAAGTCTTATGCTGTTTTTCTAAAACGAAAATCTGGAGAAAAAATATCTCTAAAAGCTGGTTTTCGCTATATATTGGCATAAACAGAGATTTAAATTCTTCTTTGTTTTCACTTACCCTCTACCATTACTGCAGATTCTAGCTGAGGCTAAACGAATCACAGAGATGCGATTGGCTGCACGTGTAAGTGATATAAATACACTAGCTTGTACTTAGTAGTAAATAACAATGGATGAAACATGCTTATCATGATTGAAGATACTCTTTTACCTTAAATGCACATCTTCATCTTTTTGTTTATAAAACTGTCCGTCTTTCTTGCTGTCCAGCGTGCGGAAGAGCCTGATGTATCTGCGAATGAGAATATTGGTCTTGATAGAGCTGATGGGGTAGTCTCTTGTAGTTTCTCTATGTCTTCAACGCGTCCTGATATGACCTCGGTAGTCTTGTCCACGGCTGAAGATCTCAAGCCGAAAAACCGTGTGTCATGGCTCACCGGAAACTGACATTAGTTTTACAAAAATCGATCAAAATTTGAGGTTATTAATCAAAATTCATGATTCGTTATAAACTTATTTTACAAACCTCGCGAGTGGCGTTGGAAGTGTCTCCTCCACCTATCATCTGACCTATAGAACCCACATTAGAGCGAACTTCTCGAAGTATCTTTTGAAGAAGACCCACATTTGCCGCCTCTGGTTTTGGAATCGGTGGGAGAGGATTAAGATTTTGAATCCTCTCTCGTTCTCCACCACGAGCTGCTTCAGGCTTAAATCTATCATACAACCTCTTATCAAAGTCCGAGGCCGTATTCATAGCATTGTCAACCATCTGTAACAAAACAGAAAAACGAAAAAATTAGAGAGATCAAACGAAAATAGAGAGTAAAACCTTGTGCTATGAATCATCGGAAACTGATTTTTTTTTACAAAATCGATAAAAAAATATAAAACTGAAATTATAAACATCATTGAGGTTTTTTCACAAACCTTGCGAGTGGTCTCGAGGCTGGAAATGTCTGTACGTTGGTAGACCAAGTTCTCAAGTAGAGAAAAGCAGAGAAGAAATGAATTTTAAAAAATGAAAATGTGTATATTTCGAACATGCCTAATAGTTATCATCCAAAACATAAAGTGTTTATATGAAATTTGTTGCTAAAGATTAAAGACAACCTCCATAAGATAAGATTTTGGTATCATAGGGTTTTGTTTATTGTATATTTTCATTGATTATCCCTAATATATTAAAAGAGAAAACACTTTGAAAATAACCTTTGTGTGATGTGTTATTAACAAAAATGCCATGCTGATGTGTCATCACTAGGAAGCTTCTCATGCTACTTATAAAATAAGGTTTAGTTTACTAGAATAATTACAAACAATGCCACTCATATATTATGGTTATAAAATCAAATATGTCTTTATATACTAAATATAAATTAAAAACAATTATACTCTTTCCTTAATTGATAGTCACGGAAATTAGTAAATAAGGAAGGTACTCAATTCAGTTATATCATATTAATTATTTTTAAAATCATTATATTTTTCCTATCATCTTTGTTTAACTTTATTTTAAAAAAAAAGAATTTGAATCATCTATATAAAATTAGAATTAAAATCTCCATTTTTGTAAATGCTATGATTTGAATAATTTAAATCAAAATAAATCACTAAAAATGTTAAAATCCCACATCAGATATGTCATTGAGTGATGGTTTAGAATTCTGTTATAAAAAATGTATATTATGTGCAATCATTTGAGTAGAAAGCCTCACTTAGTAGGCATCTAAATGTAAAGGTTTTTCTTCATTCGATTTAACTGATTTTCATATAAATTGTATAATTAGTTCAAATAAATAATTATTAAATTTGATCATAATTGTAATATATTTTAATTATATAATAAGTTAAATTATTTTAAATATTATATTTGATAAAAAATTGAATATTATAATTTGATCATATTGTAATATAGTTTAATTATATAACAAGTTAAATTATAAATATTATATATAAAATGATTATAATATTCATGATAAAAAATTAAGGTATTACTATATATTCTAATAATAATTCTATCAAGATTTAAAAATAATACAAAATTTAAAGATTTATAATATAATTTGTAATTTTAGTAACTAATAAATAATATAAAACTAAAGAAGTATATATTTTTCTGTATGTATTGAATATTTTAAATAAAATTTTGATGCTTTTACAAATACATATTTTCGTCGGTTAGTTTATTAAAAGTCTAAAACATGAAAAATATCTTAATTTAATATAAAATATATAGGTCAAATTAAATATATTAGCTGCACTAACAACTATAAAACTCTAAATGCATACATTCACATAAAAACAAAAATAAAATCTTATAATTAGTTTGCAATTTCATTACTATTACAAATTCTATTACTGTTCATATATATATTTTTGTTTTGTATTTTTGATTCTTTAATCGGTATATTAACATCAGCTAAAAGGCAAGAAATTTTGAAAATTGGTATGCTATTTTAGCGGTATAATCAACGGTGAATGTGAATGTCACAACTATCAAACTTTATAAAAGATTAATGTAGAAACCATCACTCCGCGCTGGGCGCGGGTCAAACCCTAGTCATCTATTAATGTGTGACACCGATTGAGCAAATTCTTTCTAAAAACAACTTTATTTCTTGATTTTTGTGATAAGTACCTTCCCAAAGTAAATTTGTAACATAAATATATGGCTAAACCTTGACACCTTTACCACATTTTTAACAAGCTCAACCACTACCATCATAACTTAAATTTGTTTATATTTAGGCACGTAAAAATTATTATTTGATGGATTTTCGCTCATAGTTGATCCTATAAAGTGATTGAATGATAATTTATAACTTTGCATTTTTCTATGTTTCTCCTCTTTTTTATTTTAAATCACACACTACTAAGGATTTCTTGTTTCTATTCAAAAATTATATATTCAAGAACTATGTTTTTGTTTAAATAATATGGATATGGTATGATTTTCTTTCAATTAGTTACGGTAAATACTGTTTTCTTGCATGTGAATTTTTTCTTTTCATTCTCCACAGATGTGTATTTTACTATTTTGATGTTTAATGTTTTTTGATAAATAAAAACATAGGGATTTTGGGCTAATATAAAACTGAATAATTTCGGTTTAATTCGAAAAAATGAATTTTATCTGGTTTGAGCAAAAACGAGAAACGAAAATCAAAATACAATTCCTGGTTTTGTAACGGTCTAATGTTGAGTTCGGGTATAATCAAAGTAAACCGGTTGAAATCGATTTGATTCGACGTCGTCGTCGTCGTCGAAGAAAGGGGGCAAACGCAAATCTCTCACATTCTCTGTGTTCTTCGAGAGAGCGTAATTGCAATGGACGCAAAAGACATCCTGGGGTTGCCGAAGACTCCACTGGAGAAGAAATCTCGGCCCCAGAAAGAGTCCCACAGAAAACCCGATGGCATTTCTCGCGAGGTCATCGATTTTGATTTTAGATTTTAGTTCCTTTCTTTCTCGCCTCGAGCTCTTCGTAAACTTCAATCTCGTTGTTGATGTGCAGGTGTATGCGCTTACCGGCGGCGTTGCACCTCTTATGCCTTCAATTGATGTTACCCAGTTAAAGCGCCGTCCTCCGGTGGATGAAAAGGTCCGGTTTTGCTTTTTAGGATAATTCAAGGGTTTTAGACTTTTTCTCTTTTTGGGAGTTTTGAGATGATTCTTGTGTTTCAGGTCGCTTGGCAATGGCTTCCTTTCACAAATTCCGCTAGGAAAGATGATTTGAAACTCTACCATTGGGTAAGTTAGTTCCTTTTCCGTCCAACGCCATTGAGCATCTCCTACTTTCTTCTTTCTAATGCATTTGGATTTGGATTTGTATCTTCACAGGTTAGAGTGGTCAATGGTGTTCCACCAACAGGTGACTATTCGTTTGCCAAATACAACAAGGTATTCTCTTGCCCTGAGTTGCTTTTACTGTCCTCTCTCTCTCCGTTTCTGCTTCTTCTGACTTCATTTTGTAATTCCTTCGTTTCTTTTGTTTGTGTGTGGATGCAGTCAGTTGAGATTTTGAAATACACGGACGATGAGTATGAGAATCATTTAACGGACCCTGTAAGTCTCTGCTCAAGGATCACTAGTTATCAAGTGCCTAGCCACTCTATACGTGCTTGTGTTGGATAATATATGACTTGGTTGATTGTGCCCCAACTTGCAGGTGTGGACCAAGGAAGAGACAGATCAGCTATTTGAACTGTGTGAAAGGTTTGATCTCCGCTTCGTTCTAATAGCTGATCGGTTTCCGTTCTCACGGGCTGTGGAGGAATTGAAGGATCGGTACTACAGTGGTATGTTTGGACACCTAATCTGTTTTCACCATTCTTCTCTCTGTTTCTATACCGTGTTCGCTAAGGACTGAGAGTTCTCTTATGTAGTAAACCGGGCCCTGCTGCGTGCGAGAGCTCAGTCTCCAGCAGATGTTGCAAACAATCCCCTGATTAAGGTCAACATCCTCATATATCTCTTCATAGCTAAATAGAAGCTCTTGTGTACACATATTTGTAGCAACCTATCCTTGCTGTGTTATATAAATGCTGTTTTTTCGTTTTATTGGCATAAACAGGAGCCATATGATATTACACGCGATAGAGAGCGGAAGCGGGCATTGTCCATGGTCCTGTCCCAGAGTAGACATCAGGAGAAGAAAGATGCTGAGGTGTGGATCTTCTTAAGTTTGAGTGCCCTTGCAGCCACAGAAATATATATCTTCTTTGTTTTCACTTACTCTCTACCATAACTACAGATTCTAGCTGAGGCTAAAAGAATCACAGAGATGCGATTGGCTGCACGTGTAAGTGATGCTGTGATATAAATACACTAGCTTGTACTTAGTAGTTAGTAAATAACAATGGATGAAATATGCTTATCATGACTGAAGATACTCTTTCACCTTAGATGCACATCCGAACTCTTTATCTTTATCTTTTTGTTTCTAAAGCTATCTGTCGTCTTTCTGGCTGTCCAGCGTGCGGAAGAGCCTGATGTGTCTGCGAGTGAGAATGCTGGTCTTGATAGAGCTGATGGGGTAGTTCCAGGGCGTAGTGTATCTCCCTCATCCAATTCTCAACTCCCTGCTACTGCTGTGGCTCCATCAACACTAACTATGGCAGATTATGCCTCTACCCTTGCTTCTCTGCGTATGGTGAGTGTCTCTCTCTTCTCCTCTTCACATTTTCTACCTGGTTCTCTTCAGTTTATCTGATTCGTTTTGGTGATTCCGTCAACTTTGCAAGCTTCATGTGTACTTGAGAACCTATGGGCTTGAGCAAATGGTTCAAGCTGCAAGCTCTGCTGTTGGTCTTCGAACGATCAAGCGTGTTGAGCAGACTCTGCAAGATCTCGGGGTTTGTCTTTGCTTCTTGTTCTGTTTTGACTCTTTCTGTTTGTCTTATATCACATGCTTAGCGTTTCATTTATAGATTTAACTAATGCCTTGTAGACTTTTCTGTTTTACAGGTTAATTTAAAGCCAAAGGTTCCTACAAAAACTGTATGTGATGAGCATCTTGAACTACGGAAAGAAATTTTAACACTACTGAATCTTCAGAAGCAGGTAAACCATACAAGATAAGTTCCATATAAACCCTAACTCGTATCGACTCACGAAATGTACAGCTACATGTTTTTCTAACTTGTTTCCAAACATGGTTTGTTTGTGAATTCAGTTGCAGTATAAGGAGACGGAAGGTTCGTCACATCGTGAAGGTTCATATGCTGCAATGCCAGATACTCCAAAGGTCAGCATCCAAACTTGAATCGCCAATTCTTTCTGCAGTTTCAACTTCCTATTTTTGCATCTCTAATTCTTTTGTATTTGTTCAGGACCGTGTTTTTGCATCTGAGCAATTAAGTTTTGGAGGTACATTTCACCGTCTTCTATGTTTCAGCATTGTATCTACTACTTAACCATCTTTAACTTTATTTTGTGTGTGTGTGTGTGGATCTCAGCTGAAAGACCAATCAAGAAGGAACAAAAGCGCAAGGTAGTGCAGATTAGAGTCTTCTATTTTCCTTTTTTCATATCGATTTCTATGAAAATAATCTGCATATGTGTTATGTCTATATCTGATCCACAATGTGTTTGTGAATCCTACAGGGTCCTGGAAGACAAGCAGACACTCCTTCACCAGCACACAAGAGGCCCAGAAAATTGAAAGCATCTGATCTCTAAAGTCCCTCTCTACTCTACTCGTTGCATAGTGCTTAGCAATGTTCATGTGTATGTAATTTGCCTTTTTTTGTTTCCCGGTGATTTTAGACACTACACCGTTTGTAGGTCTTGCATTGTCCCAAGAATCAAAACCTTTCACTGATGGGTTTCAAGTTTGTTTTTGAGTCTCAACACCGTGAAAACCTCCCTAAAACTCGTTTACATCATGTAGAAGAAAACGATGCTAACGATTTAAATTAATAAAAGTAAAACCTTTGAACGCAATATTAATCTGTTCTTAACTTTTGTAGGAGGCCAATCATCGTGGGCCTCGTTAATATTTAGGCCCATTAGAGCTACACTTATATTTTTCGTAAAATTGATCGCGCCAAGAAAAAAGAAAAAAAGAAAACAAATTAGAATTGATTTGCGCTCACAATTAAAGCATATGACCTCTCCGCTTCCCCTGTGACTGACCTTTATTCCACTTTTGGAGCTGAGTTTCTTCCGATTTCTAGGGTTTTTCAGTCGCAAGAGAAAGGCGAGTCTTTTCTGTTTTTTTGGTTTAAGAGACTGAGAGTAGTGAGAGTAACCCACATTGTCAATGGCGGAAACGACGATGGCCGAAGGTCGTCAAGTGGAAGTGTATACCGAAGAGGAAGGATTCGAAGGAGCTTGGTTTAGAGCCGTTTTGGAAGAAGACCCAACGGGACGCAGAAAGGTTCGCGTTCGTTACACGACTCTCCTAACCGACGACGGTTTGTCTCCCCTAACCGAAATCATCGATCCGAAGCTCATTCGACCGGTCCCGCCGGAAAACCTCGACAGCGGCGTCGTTTTGGAAGAAGGAATGGTGGTCGACGCTGATCACAGAGACGCTTGGTGGACTGGTTTGGTCATTAAGAAGGAACTTGAGGATGATAACTATCTGGTCTGCTTCGAGTCTCCTCCAGACATTCTTCAATTCGAGAGAAAGCAGCTGCGAGCTCATCTTCAGTGGACCGGTTCGGAATGGGTCCGCCCAGATATTCAGGTACAAAGCTCTGAGCTTTATCCAAGTGGTCCTCTTCCTTGATTTCGATTGAAAGGGTTTCTTAAAGTTTGCTCTTTTATTGGAAAATTTTGAAGCTTTGTCTCTGTTTTGTGTTGTTTCGTTAAAAAGGTCCTTCCTTTCTTTGTTCTTTGTTTTTGTGGTTAAATTGGTGTTAAAGGTTATAACTTTGGTTGTGAATTGAAACTTTTGAAGGAATTGGACGACTCCATGTTTTGCTCCGGGACGATGGTGGAAGTCTCTTCTGTCAATAAAGGAGAAATTAGATGGTCCCCTGCGATGGTAGTCAAGGAGATTGAAGAGGGTGGCGATAAATTATTCATTGTCAAGGACTGTAATCAACACTTGAGGAGCTACAACGGTGATGAAGTGGCAAGACCAAACAAGACTGTCGATAGCTGTCGTGTGAGACCAACGCCGCCTCCTTCTTCGGTTGAAGAGTACGGACTGCTGGAATGCGTGGAGGTCTTTTACGGCTCGTTGTGGCGTCAAGGCATTGTGACGCGTATTCTCTCTGAAAGACGTTACAGGGTTAGTTTGAAGGCTACGAAGGAGGAGTTCGAGTTTAAACACTCTGAACTTAGGCCTTTCAAGGTTTGGGAAGATGGTGTTTGGCTTAACGGAGCAAAGGTAATCGACTCTCTCACTAATCTTTCAATCAAACTTTGGATTGTTTTGTATGAAACTGAAGCTGTTATGTTCTTTAGTCTTTACAGTGCCAGCAAAACCCTGTGAAAGAGACGCTTGACAATGTCAATGCCATCAAAAGTAAGCCAACGCGGTCTTCTTCTGGTGCTAAGCCAGTGACTGGTAAAAGATCCAGAAAGCATATGAAATTATCCTCACTGAAGGGAAATGGCGAGACACTCACGGAAGCTGAAACTGTGGCTGTGAGTAGAGGAGAAAACAAATAAATTTCGTTTGATTTCCTTATGACCGTGTCTTTGATCTGATGTTGTTTTGCTGCTTGGTAATAAACAGGTCACTGGAGAAGTGGGGAAGAAGAGGGTCGATGCTGTGATGACTGATAAAACTCCACTGGTCATCGTTACCCCACAAGTAACACCAATTGGTAAATGATCTGTTTCTTTTTTTGTGTTTAATTTATGCATCATGCATGAATATTGATATAAATTTCAATCAATGTTCTGTAGCAAGAAAATCTGTTTCACCTGTAACCCCATCTCCAGTCATAACTGCAACAACAGAGACTGTAACAAAAGGAAAGGAATCCTCTGAAAATGGTTTGGGAAATGATTCAACTCCACACAAGGTAAAGTTTAGTTTTTTCCGTTAGAAACTTTAATCAATTCTCGCTTTCACTAGATGATGCTTACTATCTTAGATTCCATGATTTGTAAATGATGGTCTTACACTCTTTATGCAGCTGCCTGAAGTGGAGAATAGCCAAGATCAGAGTAGAAAAAGGAAAAGAGAAGAAAGTGGTACGTGTTTTGTTGTGTTTTGTTTCTCACTGAATCTTTTCTCTTATTATAATAACTGAGTAAATTATAGGTGAGGCTTGCAATGGTTCAGAGGCTCTGATCACTGATTATATATGCGATGATGATGATTATGATGATCAGCCCCTCTCTTCTTGGATCCTTGGAGAAAAATCATCTACTAAATCGAGTAAGACACTTGTTTCTTTACATAAACTTGCTCTATTACATAATTGATAAAGAAAAAATATTTGTTTTCTCATTCTTTTAGATCGTTTGCATTGATGTATGTAGAGTTATCTCATGATACAACAACGGTTCTGCCTTTTGTGAAACACTCACCGGTTTGGCAAGTGTTTGAGTCAATGGAGGTCTTTAAGTCAGTGAAGCAGAGACCTCATTTTAGCCCGTTGCTCGAGTCAAGAGAGGAGTTCCGTGAAGGTTTAGCTGCGGGTGAGATGGTGATATATATCGGTTTATTAGAGAGAGTAGAGAATCTGCAGCTTCACACTCCCAAAAGCACACTAGAGAGGCTGAGAGACTGCTTTGCCGAGCTTGACAAGTACGGATTCGATGTTGTAACTCCTATATCGCGGATTGAGATGTTGTTATCTCTTAAAGATAAGCAAGTAAAGAGACTTGAGGAACTGAATGATAAGGAGAAAAAGATGACAGAGGAAGTTGTCAAGAAGGAAAAGGTTGAAGAAGATCTGAGAGAAGTTGAGCGCAAGATTCTCGAGCTGAGGAGACAAGAAACAGAGTTGAGAGGGAAGAAGGATGCTTCGGAGAAAGAAATTGGTGAAATGCAGTTGTGTGTATCAACTCTTGGCAAGAAGGTTCAGGACGTGGAGGTTGAGTTTCAGACGATCGTGTCAGCTCCTTGGTGATATGTATCTCCATATTATTAACCTTAAGCTGGTTTATGTTTAATCAGAGAAGTAAAAGTATGATGAGCTCTAAGCTCTGTTTCTGCAAAGGAAAGATAGCTTATGATGCAAGTAAAAGCTAGGTTATGGTAGATGATGTTAGCTTTTGTTTGAAGAATTAGGAAAAATCTAGTCACTTTGTAAATCTTGGGGATGATTGGTACTGTGGTTGCTCTGCACAGCCCTAAATCTCTTTACATCAATACAAAATTACCAATCAATCTCTCATCCCATATCTTTCCATTTTTGAAACACAGATCAATTTTTTTTATTTATGGAAGTTCCGTGGCTTTGTAAAACAATTTTTCTAGAGAACCAAATTAAGTGCTTTTAGAGTTTTCTCTCTTCTTTTTCCTTATTAATCTTTCAACATTTATTTTTTAATCTATTATTTCTATATCTTAATTTTTTGTTTTAATGCTATATTTAATGACATAATATACAATAAAAATTCTTACAGCAGTAAAATCTAGAATACAAAATTTCTACGGCAACAAAATTAAAGCTACAGCCACAACCAATCAGGTCCCTTATGATTACTATATGAAGACTAATTTTCCTTTTTGTTTTTCATTATTATATTATTATATTTACCTCTCTCTCTCTCTCTCTCTCACAAATTCGGTCGAAGCTTTGATTTTGGGTCTGTCTCTGAGCATGATGTATATGGCTCCGACGACCGTGAATTCCATCGCCATGACAAGAAAAACATAAGGATTTTGGGCTAATATAAACCACAAATGGTTGACTTAGGAAACAGTCTCGTTTAAAAAATTCACATGAAACTATGAATAGATAGGACTCACTAAAATGAGTTCAAAGATTTAAGCATAAATCCCTAAGTGACTTGTCTTTTGAGATTGTTGGTCCCATTGGGTTTATGCTTGAGATGTTTAGTTTTAATATGTTTGTCGGAATTATTCTGATCTTACTACGAAGGACAAAAAAATACTATTTGAAAATTGAATTATTTTATAAATTTAATCAGAGTGACGACAATTACAAAGAGGTCCATGCATCATCGAGCTCGTTAATTTAGGCCCAATAGTATTTAAAGTTGGCTTTCTTAACAAATTGTATTTTAATTCATAATTTTTAGCGCCAAAGAAAATGAAAAATGAAATTAAGAGTTTTAGCTTGCCACAATTAAAGCATGGCGTAATTTTCCTTTCTTCTTCTTCAACCATTATTGCTTTTGTGATTTGACTCAAGTGGGTTTGTTTCAAAGGATTCTTTTCGATTTTGGGTTTCAATTTCATTTTCAGAGAGTAAATTAAGCAAGCATGTTATCGATGGCTAAAGACTGTGAAGTAGAAGTGTCTTCCGAAGACGAAGGCTTTAAAGGCGCATGGTACAGAGCAATTCTACAAGAGAACCCGACCAAATCAGGAAGGAAAAAGCTTCAAATCTGTTACATGACCTTGGTGGACGAAGACGGTTCGTCTCTCCTAACCGAGCTCGTCGAACAGAGGCTGATCCGACCCGTCCCTCCGGAGGATCCGAATCCGAACAACGGAGTCGATTTCGAGGAAGGGTCCGTGGTCGACGCTGATCTGAAAGATGGCTGGTGGACCGGAGTGGTTGTGAAGAAAATGGCGGATGACGATAAGTTTCTGGTTTACTTCGATCATCCACCTGACCTCATGCAGTTCCAGAGGAAGCAGCTTAGGACTCATCTTGACTTGATTGGCTCCGAATGGGTCCGACCCGAGAACAAGGTATACGTGTATCTCTCTGTTTGGTCCGATTTTCAAATGCTTGACCTTTGTCTGTTTTTGCATGTCAAAGTTTTTAACTTTTTTTGGGGTTTTCTGAAATGAAGGAATTGAGCAAGTCTTTGTCTAGATCGGGGACAATGGTGGAAGTGAGTTGTAAGATTGATAAGCTCGAAGATGTTTGGGTTCCTGCATTGATTGTTAAGGAAGATAATGATGATGATGAGCAGAAGAGATTCATTGTCAAGTGTTGCGATGATAAGTCTTTTACCTTCGACGGTGATGATGATGCGAAACCAAACATACTAGCCGTTGATTTGTGCAACGTCAGGCCTAAACCGCCTCCTTGTTTCGTTGAGAAGTATGATTTGTTGGACCGTGTTGACGCGTTTCGTGGTGGCTTGGGATGGCGTCAAGGTCTTGTGAGAAGGATTCTCTCAGAGGAACGTTACATAGTGAGCTTCGTGGCAACCAAAGAGGAGTCTGTGTTTAAACACTCTAATCTTAGACTCTCACAGGATTGGGAAGATGGTGTTTGGCTTCAACAACCAAAGGTTAAACTTTTTCTCACATTGCATGTGTGATGATGTGTCCAATTTTGGTGATTTAACTGTTGTTTTCTGTTTTCAGAGTCTGACCAAACCTGGAAACAAAACTCCTTCACAAGGCAAGAGAAAGATGTCTATGGAAACTACATTGACGTGCAGACCAAAGATGTATTCTACTGCTGCTAAGCCGATCACTTATAAAAGGACTAGAAAGCGTTCCAAAACATCCTCTGAAAATGTGGAGACGATAGGCAATGAGCGTGAAAGTGTAGCTGTGAGTAGTAGATTTTGATGATGCCTTTGTGTGTTGTTTTTTGGCTGCTTGAACAAAGATCTTACTCCATTTGCTTACTATATGATGTGTAGGCAATCGAATTATCTTTAGCTCGGGTGTCGTTGAACCAAAAGGCTGATGATGCAAGGAATGGTGATGATACACCAGTCATAATGATACCAACTGGTAACTGAGAGCTCCAAATTCTGTGTTGAATGATTTGAACTTTAACCTCACCATTTGTATAAGTAGTTAGTGTGAAACTGATCTACATTGTA